ACCTCAGCTTCCTCTTTCTTCCGTTTTTTGCCTATTTGCTAAGGAGGGCCTCCTGGAGAATAATGTACATTTGTACTTGTGCTCCCTGTGTAGTCTACTCGATTATCGTCTACTTCTTGGCTCACGAGTCTCCGAGATGGCTCTACGTCAAGGGGAAAAAACAGGAGTTCACGGAGACACTGAGAGGCCTCGCCCGAACAGAAAATTTTGATCTCACAGTGGTGGATTCTTTGTAGTGGACTGAGAGTTCTGCAGAACAAAATCACTCTGCTGCGTTTAAAGTCTTGTTCGGGCGCAAGTGGGCAATGAAGAGATTGATAATGAGCTCTGTGGTAGGATTCACGGTTGGACTGGCCTAATATGGGATGCCTTTGGGCCTCGGGAGCCTGCACTTCAATTTATACATAAGCGTCGGGCTGAATGCCTTGTCGGGCCTCCTATCAAACATGGCCTTGCTTTTCGTGATCGGGAGAATGAGGCGGAAGGTGTTTATGGGTGGGTTGTGTTTGCTGAGCGGAATTTGCAACCTGGCGGGCGTGTTCGTGGGGCTCAAGGGATGGAAGATTGGGATGGAGCTACTCTCTTTTTTTTGGGCGTGCATGGCCTTCAACGTGCTTTTGGTGTACGTGATGGAGATGTTCCCTACATGCGTGAGAAACTCAGCCGTGTCTGTTGTGAGGGAGGCCATATTATTGGGCGGGTTTCTCGGACCTGTGGTAGTGGAGGTGGGGCGCGCCACGGCCAAGGGGAACGGGTTTATCCCGTATGGGGTTTTTGGGGTGACGATATTGGTATGTGGGTTGTTTGTGCTGTGGCTTCCGGAAACGAAAGGGAGGGTTTTGTTTGATACAATGGAGGAGGAGGAGAACTATAGGGGTGGAGGAGTTGGTGTAGATGGTGCTTAGTTCTCGAGAAATTTGTGAACTTCAATGAAAAAAATAAAAAAATAAAAATAAGCGATGGTGTTAGAACCTAGTAGTTTTTTTATGAATTTGCATATTTATAGTTAAAATGAGTTTTGATCGTTTGAAAATCAAACGATCAGTGTAAGAATGACACAAACTCCTTTTGCCAACCAAAAGTTCTTAGTCTGTTGATAAGATCTTCATCAATAAAAACAAACCTTTTATCTCAAAATTCAATAAAGGGGATTCAATGATCTCTTTTCTTCTTTGATTGATATAATCCCTTATCTTCTTTTTACCATTCGCAAATCATTATAAATAGTTAAATACCCATCAATATTTTCATGAAATATTTCCTAATTTCATAGCACATGCACATTACATAACATATATAACACTTAGGCAATGGCTCTTGCTATGCTCTATGTTTTTGACAAAGTACTTGAAAGCTAGCACGAGATTGCTTATCCCGACAGCAAACGTCACAAGTTTTATTCGAGACCAATGAATGAGATTCACCAAAAGGCAATTGACCAAGAACAGTAGAAGAGGGATGACCCATCCGCTGGTGCCACAAGTGTTGCATAACCGAAGACACCCGAGAAGCATTGGCAGCGATCGCCCCTCGAAAAAAATAGAGCCCCCCCAACTGGTCACCCGCTCCAATCACCGTCCTCGAGGTGAGGTCCTGAATAACACAATACTTACCAGTGAAGGTAGCAACACAACCAGATTGTTCCAACAACCGAGATAAAGATATCAAACTGCACTACAGACTATCAACGAACAAAACATCATATAAAATAATACGAGAATCAAGATGAACAGTTCCAGCTTTACACGCAGTGGTGAACGTGCCATTAGGTAACTGCACAGACCGGGACGGAATATCCCGAATATCAGAAAAAATTCCAAGTAGCCCGTCATATGATGTGAAGCACCGCTATCATACATCCACTCATAAGGACTACGCTTACCGGACAAAGGAGCATTGTTGCGGGCAGAAGTGACGAGGTGTACAATAGACTCCCATTGGGCATCAGTCAACCCAGAAATAGCAGCCCGATCGAAGTCCGTGAAAGAGGATGTTGGCCCTCCATGTATGGGGCCAGATGTACTAAGTGCGGCCCCGTTCTCGAAGGAGGCGTTGACAAGGCCGACAGCGGCTCTTCTGTCACCGCATCTGTCATGACCAGCTCGTCTCCCGGTTTGAGCAGCGATTCTCCCATTACCCGGTTCCCCCATAATTCACGCTGGGAACTGTAATTGTTTTTTTTTTTTTTTCGCTGCTCACGCCACTCAGCACAACAAACTTTTTTTTTTCACGGCAACTCACAAATAAGACAAATTGTGGATTTTGTCTTTTTTTTTTTAAATAGGTGCCTCTGTTTATCGAGAATAAGAGAAAGAAGAAAGAAAAAAAATATGATTCTCAGCAGAAAGAGAGAAAAATTAAGAGTCTCAGTTGATCGAGACTTAGAATCGGAGAGAAAAAAAATAATCGGGCTTTGATACCTTGACAAAATACTTGAAAGCCAATGTGTTTTCCCAAAACCTTCATCCACCAAGATTTACAATGGCCGAATATAAATGTACAAAGGAAGCCCTAAAACAATCTACACCAAATCTAAGATACTAAAATCTATCTATACCAAAAATACAATATTTACAAAATCACTTTAACAGTTTTTCTCCTAGCATTTCATTTTTTCCTGCACCCGAAAACCAATCTTATTATTAGCCAATGCCGATGATAGCCTTATCAAAATCCAATGCCACAGTGCAAAGGCCCCAAAAACGTGCATCGAGTGTCTAAGGTCCGACGATCGTAGCCTAAATGCCGACAAATATGAAATTGCTACGCTCGTTTTGCAGTGTCTAGAAAAACACGCAGATAGCTTAGCTTCAACATTTTGGATTTGGCTAATCGAGCTTCGCATGATGGTGGCTCAAGAAAGGCCTACGAAGATTGCAAAAGCTTGTTCTCGAAAGCTACTAAGGAGTTAGAATCCGCAGCTAAAGAAATCAAGAACAACGATTATGATAGGGTAGATAGATTCGTGTTCGGAGCACATATGTGTAACTTGAAATGTTATGGTAACATCGAGAAAGGTAACGATGTCGAAATTCCGATTGGCGTGAAATCGGAGATGATGGTCTTTGAGGAACTTTCCGAGGCTGGCATGAGGATTATTGAAAGGTTTTAGAAAGTTCTATGTATATGAAACGTAAAGTCCTATTGATATGCATGTCACAAATATGGCGGAAAAATTGCACCATTGGTCCACTAAATTTCACCTAGTTGCACTTTCGTCCTTTATTTGTTTCCGGTTTATAAATGATACACTAACTTTTTTTTTTGGCAGCGTTGGTCCAAAATCACATTACGGTGACCATTTTGCTAATGTGCTCCCGGAGCAGCTGATGTGGCGCTTAGTCATCCCGGAATTCCTCGTCACCTCCT